TGTGTGTGTGTGTGTGTGTGTGTGTGTGTGTGTGTGTGTGTGTGTGTGTGTAGATCCAGGTTTGGATTTTTAAAGAGACAGCCTCAAAACGAGTTGATCTGCGACACGCCTAAGAAAATGGTGGGGTTATAGTAAGGAGGTATTCAGACCAAAGTTTCACCTTACATAGACCACAACTGAATGATTTTATGTGAAAGCGTAGGATTTAAAAACCTGAAATGTCTCCTTTAAGCCACTTTATATCATTTTTTACATTTTTAATTTATGAGTCAGTGCAACAAAATAAACTTAAAAGGTAAAAGTACTTGTTGTACATAACGCAGTGTTTCCCCCACACTCATTCTGAGCTGTTGGCTTTGAGTAACTGTGGCCCCCTGCAGCTGACCAGCCCTCCTGTAGGTTACAAAGCCTTCAGAGTGACTCTGGTTGTTTGTTTGTTTTGCAGAAGCAGACAGAGGACCTAAGAGATCTTTACTGCAGTTACCTGAAAAAGGAAATCGAGAACCGCGACCAGGAGATGGCATACAGAGCTCTGAAGATGAAGAAGCTAGAAAAAGAAATCCTTTTACTGGACAAGCAGCTGATGTGATTGAAAAGGGACACCTGACTTCTTTTTCAGACCCTCATCATGTGATCCAAACGACTTCCTGCAGCTGTGCTGGGTGGGCCTTATCTGTCCTCAGCCCCATCAGAGCAGAGGCTGTGATGGTTCGGCTCAGTGCTCACCGGGACACGTGGAGGGCCCGCTCTGATCCGTGGACGACTTAGTTCTGTTGAAGAACGGGGTCCACACCAGACTGATTCTGTTTCATGATGTTCTCTGCAGGTTTTAGTTATTTAAAAAAGACCAATAGTCGACCGTACAGTCTTTGTTAGAAACATTTTTTATTTTAGTGTCGTTTTACATTAATTCAAAGCTATGTGGAAAGCAGCCAGTCTGTAGTCGTGACTTTTACTTTTGAACTGTTTCAGGGCCTTTTTTTATAATAAAAAAATAATCTAGTATTTTTGTTTATGACAAATACATCACTTTTGTGAAACTTTAGTAAAATGTGAAATTACAGGGAATATGAGGCTGAAAGCACATTAGCATTCATGCAGGAGATGGTGTTTGCTTTTGATAAATACTGCTCAAGACTTTATTTCATTTTTTTTCTATTTATAGTTAAAATAGACAGTGACACATTGAAATACAGTTTTTATTTAAGAACAGGGTAATATGTGGCCTGATTTTACTTTATAGTCTGTATTAAAGTATTTTCGGCATTTAAATCAAACTGTTTCATATTATTAATTTATTTAAGCTGCTGTAGATGGAACCTTTGTGTAATTGTTTTTGAATGGACTTATAATCTGAATACAGAATAGTTTTTAATGCGTTTTTCTTCTTTAGAACCATAAAAAATAAAATCTGTTTTGCTCAGTGTCTTCCTTATAGACACATCATGCAAAGATCAGTTTGAATTGCTCTTTTGTTTGTTAAAGCGATATTATTACATGCTGGGTTCAGCAGATTATTCTAGAAAGGCAGGTGTTGAGGAGCCATCCCAAATCCCTCCGTGCACTGCGCGTCCTCGGGGCTGCTGGGAGGAGGACGAGGAGGCCCGGACATCTTCCGGCTGCTCTGCTGCAAGGAGCGCTGCGTTCAGAGACTCCACCAGGTAAACCTTTAAGTTTAAATAAACAACACGCTCCGCAGTCTGCTGCTGCAGGGCCGGGAGACGCTCTCCAGAGCAGCGGACAGTCTTCAGCTTCAGCGGTGAACTAGCTGAGCGCGTTCACGTGCAAATCCTGCAGACGCGCTCAATCGAGCGCCGAACTAAGGATCTGAAGCGCATTCAGACCGCTTGCTTCTCTTTATAGTTTAAAATTGATGCTGCTCACGAGGGGAAAAGCAGCAGCAGACAAGTGTAACCACATGGTTGACCATATTTTAAGAAACTATTTTTTTTAACGTGCCTAACCTAACTCAAAACCTGATTGAGCCACCTCTGCCATTCGGTTGAATTGTGTAATGCTAAAAGAATCCACCAGATGGCGCTGTGGCAGTAAATGATCATAGACTTAAATTAAAACCCTGTTATATAAACTCCCATTTAAATAAGTTTGATCATTGACAGCTAGATCAGTAGTGGGTGGGACTTGGGCGCTATCACGTGGCTTTTAATGGTAGGAGTGAGCAGCCATCTTGAGCAGGGCGAGGATTGTGTTGTATGAAGGAATAGAGGCCCTTTCCCAATCGGTGGCTACACTTTAGCTACTCACTCAGTTTGCGCGTGCCCGCGGAGGGTTGGCTTTGTTAAATCCCACCTGAAACCAATTAGGCACGAGGGCGACTGGTTTAGTAAGCCCCCCACAGCGAGTCAGCATCCTTGAGCAGCAGGTGCAGCACCAAATAYTGGTCGGCATGGAGGACGGGACGTATAAATATAAGTTCCACATAAGTTTTGTACACATATTAACTAAGTAAACACGTCACCAACAAATATAATTTCACATAGGAAATAAATCATGTTCAATTCAAACTTCATTAAAGACACAGAACCCTGGTCCACATTTAAAAAAGAAGAAAGGAAACATTTAAAAAATAAAGAAAAAATAAATGATTTAAAAAAATGTTAAAAGTGCAGTTGTTTTGACAAGTTATCACACTGTTACAAATACAGTCATATCTGAAAAGTCTCCAAAATGTGGGCCTAATTAAATATTTTCTTTAGTCTATTCAAAAACGTGTTTGTTCTCCTGCATTCAGTCGCTGCCAGCGGTTGGACTGTTACCATGGTGACGACAGCTTCCTGTTCCGATGGTGTGAGGAGAGGCCGTCTCAAAAGAGGAGGGTGTATACAGCGCCATCAAGGGGTCTCAGCTCAGCTGCGAGGGGGCTTCACAGCGAGTGTAGAGTGTAGGAAGTAGGGCGAGTGTGTAGCCACTGATTGGGAAAGGGCCAGACTTTCTGTCAGGGCCTTAACAACAGCATTGAGTTGAAATGATGGTTTGCGCCATCTAAAAGGGATGAAAGCAAGACTCACTGCAAATTTTGCAATACCCACTGTAATTACTTCTGGCACAATGGCAGCTGGGGATAGGCAGCAGTTTGCCAATCATTGTTTTCTCAAGATAAATCTACCAGCTATTTTTAGAAAGATGTTTGCACCTCGGAGGTCGCAGGCCAGAAGGGATATAATATCCATTCCTTTCTGGATGTTTTTGGGTGTTCTGTCAGTTGGATACACTCAAAAAATGTTCAGTGGGGGTCCAGGATCACCCTAATCAGATTCTTGTACCACCTGAGCTGACTCCTGTGATTGACAAGACTGAACTTGGTGAATCTATAAGAAAGTTCATTTCAGACACTTGCCTCAGAGACCTTATTTATCCAMTTATGATTTATGACTCACCTCACTTCTCACACATTCACTGCCACAAAGCACAACAGTTCACTCTTTGCTAAAAAAAAACAGATTAATTGGGCCTCATGCAAGAATCGTTCGTACGCACATATTTGTTCTTAAGTTGTGCGTACGAGTGATTTAGGAGAATTTGTGGCATTCACCAATGTTTTCTTATTCTAAGAWTTTTTTCAGATACAAACAAAATTTACGAGTGGTCCAGACCTGTCGTATATTTTACGAGCAGTCAGTTTGCTGTTATCCAGACTGATTTTCCTCCCTAATAACTTTATATTTCATTAGTTTGAAGATATTTTGAGTTGAAAATAAATCACACTCCATGATTATGTTGACAATAGGCTATTCTTCTTGAATTAGAGTTATAATTTTAAATGTAATAATTTAGACTAACAATATAAATTGTCCGTCTGTCCGGCTTATCCGGGATCAAGTCGCGGGGGGCAGCAGGAGAGAGACCCAGACATCTCTCTCCCCAGCGACACCTTCCAGCTCGTCCTGGGGGTCTCTGAGACGTTCCCAGGCCAGAGGGGATAAATAATCCCTCCAGTGAGTCCTGGATTTTCTCCAAAGTGCCAGACTTATTTTGAAAACATTTGAAAATGCTTATTTCAGAACTGCAACTGAGACCACTTGAGACTGTGCGTGCGGGGTGGGGGATGGGGGTACGGTGCGCAGCGCTGTGTCTTCAGAATAAATGAAAATGATTTAACACAGTTGTTTATACTTTTAGCAGCTCTTTTTATTCCACAGCTGAGCTGCTAAAAATGACAGATTTTCTTTTCTGGATCTCTGACAGACGGACTTCAATCTCTGAACTCGTAAAGTTCTTCTTTTTAGTTTTCGCTGCCATTTTTCATGAATGGACACTTCCTGATATCTGAGGCAGGAATCATAGCCTTATATGGTGTTTTTGGGGTGGTAATTATGCTAATCTCCTCTCGCGTGCACGAGSAGCTGGATAGAACAGGTGGAATTTACGCAGCTCATTTACACACTTTTCCTGAAGATAGAAGAGTTTGTTGAATCTGACGTGACATGTTCGTACGAACCCTTRGTACGAACAAAAGTAAGAGAAATTTAGGAGAAGAATACGAACATGTTCTTGCATGAGGCCCATTGTTTCAATTCAGTTCAGTTTATTTATATAATGTAGGTCACAACAAACTCTGATTCAGGGAGCCAGCAGATTGAGTTGAATCACTTCATCACAGTCTCTCATCCTGAGCAGCACAGTGGTGACAGTGGAGAGGAAAAACTTCCTTTTACACAGGAAGAAACCTCCAGCAGAACCAGAACCAGAACCAGGACAGGCAGCCTCGACCAGCTGGGTTTGAAAGGAGACAAACACGTTGTTGACAAAAATAGTTCCAACAACAAAAATGTAGAGGAGAGACTAAAACCAGCAGCAGAGTAGGGAAATGTGCTCAGTTTGTCCTCCAGCAGTCTTGATATAGTTTGATCTGTCCATCTTTCACTCTGTTGAACACGACACTGAGATTCTTGAACTCCTAACTCTTCTTCTACAGCTGGTTAGAAACCCTGGAGCTGACTTCTGTCAGCCGTCCATGCTCAGCAAACTTCTCATGTGCACACTTTGATTTGTCAAAATGACAGATAACCATTACACTATGAGCAAATTAAAAAGTAGTCTGTGTTAAAAATGGGCTATGAGATTTACTGACAGGTGCAGCCGTGTTGGGGACGGCCCTATGTGTGTCACTGATGGAGGCAAACCAGACAGCATAATTCACAAGGATTTTTTTAGAACAGAGAGCTGCATCACTCTTTCTAGCCTTGTCAAATTAAATTAAATATGTTATTGGTTYAATTTTTATTTGTTTCATTAACTTTTTTGTTGCACCGTTACCTCGAATGTCAACATTTTAGCATTGACTTAAAATATTTTAATAATTTGTCAACCAAATCATGCATCACAGCTGATGGATATTATATGTAGCCTTTTTTAAAACACATACACATCTCTCCCTGACTCCCACATCCATCCATCCATCCATCCATCCATCCATCCATCCATCCATCCATCCATCCATCCATCCATCCATCATCTGCTGCTTGTTC